CTGTAATAACTAATAATTACTAATAAAAAGTCCCCAGGCCAAGGAGGTTACCTTAATACTGAAAAAAAAAAAAAAAATAAAAAATATAATGCTAATTTTATAATTATATAATTATACTTAATTATGGTTTCACAATTTGATTTGATTTAATTTAATCAAATATTTAAACTCAAATCAAATTCAAATACAAAAATTTCAAATCAAATCAAATTCAAATATAGTTATATTTGATTTAATTTGACAAATATTTGATTTTGATTTAAAAAACTTATTAAAATTTAAATACAAATCAAATTCAAACTTAAGTTTTTAAAATCAAGTCAAATTTATATCAAAGCAAATTTGATTTAATCAAATTCAAATTAGCCTAATATTTGATTTGAGTTTGAGAAACTTTAGCTAGCACAGTTATTATAATTTATAAATATCTTACTTTCTATATTTACAATATTACTATTTATTTTGAATATACTATATTTATAGATTTTTTTTTTAAATATAATTTTAAATTTTGTATTATTTCTATCTATCTTTCTAGCAATAACTCTATTACTAGATTATATACTCAAAATCTTATTATCCAATAGATTTAGCAAATAATTTTCTCCAATCTGTTCTGATTGTTCTTGATAACTTTAACACTACTACAGACTTAACACTCTCTTCTTCTAATAAATTCAAACTTTTTTAATTCCTTACTTTTAATAATATATATAACCTTGCTACCTACATTTTATTATTTTTATCTACTTAACAAAGCTTTAGATATAGTAGTAAAATTAATTTTATCTAAAGCTACTATACTATTTTTATATATCTAACTTTTTTTAAAACTAATATATAATACCAATGCTAACTTCTTTAGTAAGTATAAAATTTTTATCTTACTAATTATTTTTCTATATACTACAAGGTTAATATAGATATAAAACACATACTTATTATAGAATTTTCAATTACAAAACTATGAACTCTGCAAAATGAAAAAACTTTTTTAAACAAGTTCATAATAATCTCTTGTTAAACTTTACTTTTTTCTTTTTATATACTAATAAATTTATTGAAGCCGCTTAATACAAAATTTAAACTAGTATTATCTTTGCAGTCTTAAAACATATTTTTAATAGAAGATTTACAGTTTACAACTTTCAATATATCTTCTTTTGCAAAGTCTTCTTACTATATTCTAGCTTTAAAAAACTTGGCAAATTATCAGATATATTAATACTTATTGAAATTTAATTCACCTATTCTTTTATATTTTAATTCTACTATCTTCTTATTCAACAATTCTTTTAATCTCTAAATATCTCCTATTCTTTATAATTATAATCTAATAAATTTGTGTTTGGTTATCAATATATATATATATATATATATATATTTATATAGATGCTTTGATTCTATTTTTGGTAGATTATAAATATTTTTTACAAATATTTTGGTAAAGTTTTTTTTTTTTTTAGTACTAGGTGTAAATAGATAGGAGTAGTCTTATAGTAATAATAAATTAGCTAATTTTTAAAAATGCTCTAAGAGAACATGTTTTAGATCTAATATATTATAAATTATGTTTTTAAATCTATTGTATATATAAATATACTTATATTATTAATATTTTTTAATTTTATAAATACTTTTAAAATTCCAAACAAATTTATCTAGAAAACAATTTAAAAGATAACAAAAAAAATCAAAAAATTTTATTTCAAATATTAAATTAATAATAAAAATCAAACAAACCTATTAGGTAAATTTGCTTGATTTCTATTAACTCGGTTTTTTGATCACTAATTACAAGATTTTTTTCAAATATTATATATATCAATATATAGAAATCAAGCAAATCTACTATATAAATTTGCTTAATTTCTGCTAAGGCCATGTGAACAAATAAAATTGTTCTCGTTACCCGGCCGGGTAGCTTTTTTAGAAAAGTTAAAATTTTTTTCGATATAAATTTTTTTATTCTTGTATAAAAAAAAAATTTATAAAAATTTTTATATTAAAAATTTTTTTAAATATAACTATTTGTTTGATGTAACGAGAAACAACTAATTTAATTTGCATGACCTAACTCTATTTTTTTGATCACCGATCACCGATCACCCTTCCGATCATTCGACATAAATCGATTAGATTTACTAAGTTGACACAAAATTGAATATCTCCAAATTAGGATTTTTACCGATTCTATTGAATTCCCCATATCGAAATATATTATATAAATTAATACGTAATACGAGTACCTAATCTATATAAATGAGATATCTGATTTATTAAAACAAATATTATGAATAATTAAATATAAATTACATTCTTCTACAATATATTTAATATGTTATTGCTTTAATTTTCTCACACAAAATAATGCTATATAAATATAATATCAATCCAAAATAATATTGCAAAGACCATAAGTATTGCATAATAAATCAGTCCATTTTTTTCCACCGATAAATTTTTTTTTTTTTTTGTCTAGGTATCATAAATTACAAAATTTAAGAGAGATATATTTTTTTTTAATACATTTAATCACTTTAACATTTATAGACGATAATTTGTTTTTTTATGTAAATCTCAAAACAAATTCACCAAATCATTTGACACACCATTATTTTGATGATTACCATTATTTTGATTATTAGAAGTAGATTGCGTAGATGTTATACTATTGTCATTAAACAAGTCCAATAAATCGTCCACATTGGCATTTGGCGTGAAAGACTTGGAAGATGTCGGAGGAGATTTTGTAGTTGAAACAACAGTATTAGTATCACTAAAATCTAGATCCAATAGATTCTCAATATTTGTTTTAGTTTGAGCCTGGATCGGTGACTCTCGGGAAGCCTCTTCTTGTTCCCTATAATAAAAAAAAAAAAAACAAACAAAAAAAGTTTAATATTATGATCAATTAAATTAATTAATTAATTAAATAAATTTGAAATTTGAATATGTAATCTAAAATTTTAGAAGAGTTATCATACTCGATAGCCCGTCGTTGAACAGCATCAGCGCCAAAGCGACCTTTCCCTAGGAACGTTTCAGGAGGTTTATGATATACGCTGGCAAGAGTCGAAATATTACTAATCAATTCTTCAAGTAAAGAGCTAGAAATCGTATTACTTTGAACGGATATCGGAGGTTTATCTGACAGAACAACAGCCTAAAGAAATGATCAGGCAATTATTGCAAAACGTAAAATCGGTCCTTGACTGCGTTGCTATCATGAAGGGATATGAAAGCCAAGATAGTACCTTGGCAGCCTGTGGATCTGTTGATAATAATCTCCAATAAATATATGCACGATCACGAATATCAGGATTATCACATTCGATTGTAGCGGTTTGTAGAGCACGTTGTACGATGGTTTGTGTTGATTGTGGTTTTTTGAGGAAAAGCTTGACGCTTGTGGTAACCAATTGTAATTGAACCTTAATAAAAGTTGTCACACACAACGTAAAAAATAATGAAATTATTTAATCGAGTATATTTTTTATTATAAAATAATTTAAAATTAACGCAAAAAGTTTTACATACCTGAAAATTTTCATCACGGAATGTATCCAAAAATGTAACGATTAATTCATCAGCATTTTCAATTCTTTCAGCATATTCACCAATAATCCAAATTAGAGAAGCCTTGGCTTCTGGTTCATCTAATGCATCCAAATTTTGACATAATGTTGGGATAATTCCTTCATATTTATGTGGATATTTTCGAAATATGTCCTAAAAATTACAAAATAATATCAATAAAAAAAAATAAATAATAAAATAAAGGAAAAATATATGCACTCATACCTTGATAACGACAATTGCTTCCTGAACTACGTAATTAACTTTAGTATTAATCAAATCTAACAATACATTAACACATCTTTCCGAAGATTCACTAATCTTGATGGCACATTGTCCAATTGCTCGAACAGATTTTCTTACAAAATCGACGTCAACTTCGGAAGCATATCTAAAGTTAAACGAAATGAAAATTTGTACATCATTATTTACTATGGTTTC